AAAATATATATTTTCAAAAAGAGCAAAATGTAAATTATGTGCTAAAATATATAATTTATTGGAACTAAGCTGCAAAAATAAATACAAACGTCTATTAAATTATATAACATAAGGTAAAGTTTTCCATTTTTAATGTAATTGGTGCATTTTAAATGTATTTCTTTATTTATTGGTCCATTTATATAGTTCTGCTTTTATTTCTAATTATGTCAGTTTCGATCCTCCACAACACTGACTCTCACCAAATACACCTGAATGTGTTTGAAACTGTGAAGCTGGGAGGAAATGACAGGGTTGTGTGTAGATTTCAGCAGATTTCAAGCATGATAAGAGCTCTCTAATGCTTCAACTCTGTGCAGGTGGAGGAACACCTGGAGCCTTTAATACTTTCTGATGAGAAACTGAGAGATATTTCCCAAAGGTTCCTGAAGGAAATGGACAAAGGTCTGGGGAAAAGCACACATCACAGGGCGTCTGTCAAGATGCTGCCGACCTTTGTGAGGGCAACGCCTGATGGGACAGGTACCGCCTTTCAGGCAAACATTTYTCTGATTTTACCAGAAAATATATTTTAAACTGGAGATTTTGTAAATAAATTTTAAAGGGATGTCGGTGCAGCCACTGCATTAAATTACATGACTCTGTTTGGGAAGTGAAACTAAAACCACCTGAAAAGCTGCTGCCAGTGGTTGTTAGGATCACACACGTCTCTCACTCCCTGTGAGTGCATAAGAGGCAGACMGAGACATAAAACAAGCCTCACGCTTCAAAAATTGTCCATTTAACCAAGTTTTACAATCGTATATCCTGCAAAAACTAATGTTTTTTATCTTGTTTTGAGTTTGATAAACTAAACAAGAGCAGAATGTGTTCATTAATTTTGTTAGCCTGGAAATTTTCTTACTACACTGACAGATTATTTCACTTAATTTGAAAAGATTCAGACTGTAGTGTTTTTTATTTATTTTTAGATGACTAATTTTTGCAATGCTGAGCAAAAACTATAAAGTTTTTCTTGAAAATGTTTGAACAGAGTGGCAGAAGACTCTGAAGGTCACACTGATTGTTTTTCTACAATGTTTTATATATAAAACATTTTTAAAATATCCTTTACTTCCACTTGTCAAGGGAAATGTTTGAGTGAAAAATCAAACTGAAGTCTCTCTTCTTCAAAAAAAAATCTGCATTAAATTCTCTAAACGAAGCCATCAGTTGTTTGTTTGCTCTCTCTTGCAGAAAAAGGTGACTTCCTGGCGTTGGACCTGGGTGGAACAAACTTCCGGGTGCTTCGTGTTCAGGTGATGGAGCACGCKGTGAAGAAGATGGACAGTCAGATCTGCCCCATCCCACAGGAAATCATGGTGGGACGTGGAACACAGGTAACAACACACGGAAACTAAAGGTCGTTTTGGAACAAATGATGTTTTTAAGAACATTGTGATAAACCTCAGTAGATGAATTTGAACAAAATAAAAAGTATTTAAAACCCAATTAAAATGCATTCATAAAAGCTTTTTAAAGGCTGTTCTGTTGTAACGTAGTGCCCTAAGATCTTCAGAGTTACATGGTATTTTGATCCAGTCCTATAGGTTGATTAAAAAGATGAGACATAATAAACTTCAGTCTAATTTAATGTAAAAACTGATGAGTCAGGGTCGAAGTGAAAATGAAAAGCAGGCAGATACGAGGAACTCAAAATAAAACAAAAAGTGGTCGAGGCAGCAAAAAGCTTTCAGACACAGGACTGAAATGATGGGCAAAGCCAATGAACCAGTGAGCAAATGATGACAGGAAACTGTTAAATACAAACTGAGGGAGAGAAGATGAGCAACACCTGGGGAAGGACCGATTACAAAACGACAACAGCTGAGTGTGGTTTACAGGAACTTCACTGAGACAGGAGTGAACACAGGAGGGAGACAGAACACAAAACATGAATCCTCACAGTATGATTAAGTTTTAGAAAGCTYAAAGAATAAATGAAAGCCTCCTGTGTGAAAACTGATCAACATCTGTGTGTTTTTACATCTGTTTAGCTCTTCGATCATATCGCCGCCTGCATGAGCGAGTTCCTCGACTCTCAAAACCTGAAAGGAGAAACTCTTCCTCTGGGCTTCACCTTCTCCTTCCCCTGTGAACAAAAAGAAATCGACAAGGTCTTTATTACAGACACACAACTAACACAATATTTTGTGTAGCAGATCTTTTTAAATATTTTGAAGTTGGTCTATTACAACTATTTAATAACTCAAAAAATAACAATATTGTTTGTTGTTTGTACATTTAATCTAATGTAAATGTAACAGATAACACATATTAAAGCAGTGATTCACAGCGACGATCAAGCACTCCTTTCCTGCATGTTTGGATGTTTCCCTGATTTGACRCACATGAATGAGTGATTAACAATCATCTGAAGACCTGCTGAACAGCAGGGAAACAAGTYAAACATGCTGGTTAGGGGTACTTGAGGACCAGGGTTGGGAACCAGTGCCAACTCTTTGGGGAAACTGACAAACCTATCTTTGAATTTAACTAAAAAAAGTGTTTAACTAACACTGTATTTTTAACATACAACACCAAAACTAGAAATCTAACACTTTTGATTTTGCTCTGTACATTTTGATTCATTCCCTAAAAGATTTATTATAAAAAGCATGTTTTTCTTTCTGTTTAACGTTGTCTCATGGTTCTCTAAGATGCAAATACAAGTAAAATGTCTTGCCTAGAAAAAAAAAACTGTATTGTACAATTATTTTTACGGTAGTTTACTGCCAGTCAAGACATCAAATTGACGGTATCCYACCGTATTTTGGTATAACRATGTTACTGCTGGAATTCCGCTGTAAATTTACARTAATTTCTAAGAGTGTAGCTACTCTAAATTAAATATTTGCCACACCTTGTTTGTGATGGCWGCAGGAAACATGAAAAAAAAAAGCCAACAAACGTGCAGGAAATCACAGATTGCACGGCACGTGTTACATTTTTGTTGTTTGCATGCAGAGCATCCTGATCCGCTGGACTAAAGGCTTCAACTGCTCCGGGGTGGAGGGAAAGGATGTGGTGAAGCTGCTAAAGGAGGCCATCCACAGGAGAAGAGTCAGTTAAATATGGTCATAAATCTAAATGATCACAGCAAATCAGCCAATTTAAGAGTCTTTTCTTCTTTATTCTGCTGTTTTTTTTAAATCATCAAAAATACAAACATGAAGCTCCTGATAGGACATGACAAAAAGCATGTGTTGTTTTGTCTGCAGGACTTTAATATAGGCTCTGTTGCCATGGTGAAYGACACAGTGGGTACGATGATGAGCTGCGGCTACCCAAACAGCCACTGTGAGATCGCCATAATCATTGGTACGTAATCACCGAGAGAAGACACAAACAACCAAAGAGTCGAATACAAAACAACGTTCGATCAAGAACAGACAAGTTGGTGGAATAAAAGACAAATTCTTTGTTTTCTACAGTTTGCTTTAGCAGACACAACAGAACAACGGCCCATGTGGAAATCAGGTTTCAGTTGTTCGATCTGGTCTTCCTSTGCAGGGACAGGAACCAACGCCTGCTACATGGAGGACATGAAGAACGTGCAGCGTGTGCAGGGTGAGGACGGSCAGATGTGCATCAACACAGAGTGGGGAGGCTTTGGAGACGACGGCTCACTCGATGACTTCCTGACCGAGTTTGACCGGGAGATTGACAGAACTTCTATTAATCGTGGAGTCCACACGTAAGCCTGGCAGTCAGTCACAAATCTACAACAGAATAATCATTGTTTAGGTAATTGTCTCCTACTCTGGTTCTGGTTCTGTTACACTGTAATTAATGTAGCTGCATATCAAAAAATGTTGAATTATGACCTTATGTTTAAGGTCAAGCTACTTGATCAGTGGAACATATTCACAACGTTTATCAGGAGTCATCAGTGAATAAGTGGGCAAACTCACCCCAAGGTCAGACTGTACAATGCCAGGAGAGAGAGAAAAAGCCCAGGAGCTACAAGMCCCAGTTAGCAAGTTAAAGGTTGAAGTTTAATCCAACACAATTAGAAAACGACTGAACAGGAATGACTTGTTTAGAAGAGAGAGACTTTTTTCCTGTAAACAAAGCATCACGTTTAAATTCAGTCTAAAGCACGTGTCAAATTCAAGGCCCGCGGGCTGCTTTCAGCCTGCAGGTGACTTCCTATAASTTTTTTTTTACTTAAAGTGAAAATAGTTTTACATCAATGGTAAACTTTCAATTTATGATTCAATACAATAAAATAAACACATTTAAAAGATGAAGGATAATAACACTTGTCCGACCCCTGAGCTGTTGGCTTTGAGTATCTGTGGCCCCCTAAGCTAATTTAGTTGAACCCCCCTGTATTAATGTCTAAAATAAGCTGCATTAAAGCCATAAACTAAATCTCCCATAATGCATGTTGATAATGCACAGAMGAGTGCAGCGGGAGAGTCAGAATTTCAGATTTACCACAACTCAACAGTGAGTAAAACTATCTTAMTTTTATTTTAAACGGTATTTCTGTATTAATTATTTCACACTTAGTCAACATGAACCCTTCTTTATGGTCTTGGTGATTCAGATCACTTACATTATGTACTTCAGTTTCATTAAAACAGTCCAGACAGTTATTTCCTTGCTTCCAAAATCGGATCAAACCGTTTTTAGTTTAATGGATCAAATCAAAAATCAACACCAGACTGGTTCATTTTCACTTCCAACTGGAGTGAACTGAAATAAGAAGTCGAAACAARAAAAGGAAATGTTTTGCCATCAGAGGGCAGTAGAATCCAAAAAATGAGGGTTTTGGTTCTTCACTGTCCTGATGTGTCGTCTTGTAGCTTTGAGAAGATGATCAGCGGCATGTATCTGGGAGACATCGTCCGCCTGGTGCTGAAGAAGCTAACGGAGGACAAACTGCTGTTTAAAGGAAAGGTGTCGGATGCACTGTGCACTGCAGGGAAGTTTGAAACAAAGTTCATCTCTGATATTGAAAAGTGAGTGGTCATGAGTTTCTTTTTAAGAGTCCTCAAAAGGAATTATTAATCTATTTGACTGTTTTATTTCCTTAGTAGCTCATTATTATTATAATATTGTTTTTCTGTTTGTGTTTCAACCAGGCCGGACACCAAAATCGGCATAGAGAACACGAGGAAGATTCTGACTGATTTGAAGCTGGATTTTGACACGGTTGACCTCCATGTGGTCCATCTTGTCTGCCAAACCATCTCTAAACGTTCTGCTCATCTCTGTGCTGCTGCGCTGGCGACCATCGCCAACCGCATTCGTGAGAACCGAGGACTGGAACGTCTGAAGTCCACTGTGGGGGTGGATGGGACCGTATACCGAAAGCACCCAACGTAAGTATCAAGGAGCCAAGTCTTCCTGTAATTCTTTAAAGCGCTTGATCAAATATTTGTAAAGTTGTTTGAATTTTTTTCTTTGAAATTTGTCTGCCTAGATGTCAGTCCTACTTACAGGAACTTCCTCCAATTCTCAAATAACTTCACTGGGTTCCTGTCCAATGTTGAGTTTAAGATTTGAATCCACACTTTCAAAGCTTGTTCTTGTTCTTCATGGCGCAGCACTCCTGCAGCCCACCTTTCTAGAAAAGGCATTAATGAGTCTTAAACTAGCCTATCCTGGGCAGAGACACTGTTCAATTCA